CCACCGCCGCCAGATGAGAGAAAGGTAGAAGAAACAGGAAAAGCGCAACAACCGGAATGGTTTAGGTGACACTTCACTCTTGCCCACCTTTCCGCATTCCTTCCGTGCCCCTCCCCCTTCTCCAAATGCACCCCGTGGCCACGCGAAGTCCACGAGCGTAGTGTTGTCGCTCCCCGCCGGACTGTCACTCCGAAAGTCCCCTTTTGACAGGGAAAAAAAAACCAACCTAAGCAACAAAGCCTCGGGAGGAAAAAAAATAAAAAGACGCAGAACGAATCTGAGGAGAAAGACATAGAGACGCAGGCCTGGGCAGACGAGAGCCGCCAACACCGCCGCTCCCCCCCCCTGTTCCTACCCCTCGACATCAGAGCACGGCTACGCTCCTCCCACTCTCAGTCTCACACCCACTGCCCACTGACGCTCATTCTCATCCTCATTCTTACTCTCACTTCTCACTCGCTCTCCTTCTAACTTCCTCGCCAAACCCGGCTCACCACACACCCCACAGAGAACTGCACCCGCCACCCCTGCGCGGTGTGCTTGCTGCTGCTGCGCGCGCATCCGCGTGTGCGTTGTCTTCCCACAATCAAATGTCCGAGGCCCAACGCGAACGGGAGGTCCAGCGATATCTCCAGAGCTGGCAGGTCGCCCAAGGGTCCTCCTTCAACGTCGCCCTCAATGTCGATAGCATCGCCGCCCCGGACTTACATGGCAACGGCTACAAGCCAAAGGCCTCGGCCGACAAGGCCCTCACCGCTTTCGCCCAGCTGGCCGTGCTGAAGCTCGACGTCAAGCGCGCCATGGTGTCGCTGATCGATACCACCACCCAGACTATTCTTGCCGAGGGGACCCGTTCTGTTCAACTCGGAGACTTTGAGCACCTGCAGGATTCAAATAGTAGTGGTTTGAACGACAACGATGATCAGAACGGTGATAATGAATTGTGGCGTACGTAGGCCTCTCTATTCGGGACATCACATCACCCAGTCCCGGCCGCGGCTGCGGTTGCGGTTCGCCGCTATCCACCGTCGCTGCATATCAACAGCCTTCTTCACAAATGCTGGCTTCATGCTCGAATCTTAGTTTCAGTGTGAATTTTCAGTGCGAATTGTCAGGCGCAGCCACATGGGAAGAAGGCGCGGTTCATTCTCGGAGGTCCTATGCTGACAGTTTGTGATCTCATAGTCGGCGCCACCATTCTATCTCGTCCCGATGCTGTTTGCGAACACTCAATGGTGAACACTTGCACAGGTTTAGACCAAAAGGGCCGCCCGTACACAGCAACTGGACTCATTGTCAATGACTGCCGCCTCGACCCTCGCTTCGCCCAGCGTCCCTACGTGCTCTCGGAGCCCGGCGTACGCTTCTACGCTGGCGTGCCCATCATCTCACGCAGCGGCCACAAGATTGGCTCCTTTGCCGTCTCCGACGAACGACCTCACAATGGACTCACAGCGGAAGAGATTCGGTTTATGCAGGGCGTCGCGCAAACGGTCATGGAGCATTTAGAGTGGGCGCGGGATCGCGTCGACAGGTTTAAGGGCGAGCGGATAGTGCGAGGACTGGCGACTTTTATCGAGGGATGTTCCACCATGAACGAAGATTCAAACTCTGTCAAGGACGACATACCGAGGAGCCCATCGACGGTACGGCCGCCGGATATGCCACTCATCTCGACGCGACGGCCGATGCCGAGATCGAATTCGTACTTTCGCAACGCCGAAGCACTCGTCCGGTCCCGAGAGTCATCGGCGTCTCGTCAGCAAAGTGATACTACGGAACCACCAGGGCCCAGTACCGAGAACCCGCCATCGCCCAAGAAGGCATACCAGCCGAGGGTCGATGGCCTGTCGAAACTCTTCAACCGCGCAGCAGACGTCCTTCGCCACTCGACGCTGGCTGACGGCGTTGCCTTCTTCGGAGCCACCGCAACGAGTGCTACGCCTGGCAGCCAGTCGAGGTCGGGCAGGAGTCAATCCTCGGATGAGGAGGACGTCACACGACCCGCCACGTCGGGCTCTGGGCTGGACAGTTCCGACTCTGACACCTCGCCCTCCTCCAGGCCGTGCAAGATTTTGAGCTTCTCCGTGGCCGACGAGCGCGCGCGTGCGCGCATCGAGCAGGGCCCGGCGCTTTCACTCGGCATTCTTGAAAAGTACTTCTCCATGTTCCCCATGGGCAAGACCTTCTCATTCACCGAAGCCGGGCTAGGCGTGTCATCAGGTGACGATAGTGCCAGTGATAGGGAGACGATGGGCGTCGACGGCGCAAGTCGGCCTGACAAATCCGAAGGCAGACGGCGAAAGGTCAAGATGGTCCACGAAGAGCTCCTCAAGAAGATACCCGGAGCCAAAACAGTGGTATTTGTTCCTCTCTTCGACTATGGTGAAGACAGGCTAGCCGGGGGATGTTTCCTCTGGACCTCCGTCACCGGCCGCATGATGAACCTCGACCAGGACCTCTCCTACCTCCGCGCGTTCAGCAACAGTATCATGACCCAAGTTGGCCGCATCAACAGCCAAAAGAACGAGGCTGCCAAGACGACCTTTATCGCGAGCATGAGCCACGAACTCCGCAGTCCCCTCCACGGCATCCTCGGATCCGCCGAGCTTCTCCAAGACACCAGCACAGACGCGTATCAATCGGGTCTCATCAGCTCCATCGCCACCTGCGGAAAGACACTGCTCGACACACTCAACCACGTCCTCGACTACAGCAAGATCAACAGGCTCGGGCGGGCGCAGATGAGACGGCGCGCCAAGCAGACCCAGAGTAGGCCGACGGCCATCACATCAGACTCGCTCGAGAGTTTGAGCATGTCCTCCGTGGTGGATCTCGCTGTTCTCGTGGAAGAAGTAATCGACGCCATCGCCGCGGGTCACGCCTTCAAGAAGCTGGTCGGCGTGGGCTCCCTGGACGGACCCAAGCCCAGCATCAGTGTCAAGGAGACGAATAATGTGAGGTCGGTAGGCAATTTCCAAGCGCCGGGGGCCAAGGGCCCTGTATCAATATTGCTAGATGTCGACCCGAAGATACCATGGCTGGTGAAGGCGCAACCAGGAGCTCTCCGGCGGATCATTATGAATTTGTTTGGAAATGCCCTGAAGTACACGACGCAAGGCTACGTTCTCGTTTCTTTGACCGGCCAGACGAGGTCTGGGGGAACAAAGATTGACGCCATGATACGTGTGGCAGACTCTGGCAAGGGCATGTCTGAAGAGTTCCAACAAACCCGACTTTTCCTCCCCTTCAGTCAGGAGGATTCATTCCAGCCCGGCACGGGCCTGGGTCTCAGCATCGTCAAGCAGATTGTCGACTCGTTGCGGGGAAGCCTCGAGGTCAGGTCCGAGCAGGACAGAGGCACCGAGTTCGACGTCCACCTCAGCTTCACGTCGGCATCCGACGACACGGAGGACCCCCGTGAACCGGACGAGGCGATGCGCAGGGCCGTCAATGAAACGAGGGGGATGAAGATTGTCCTCCTCGAGGAGGAGCGTACTTCCGACACGCCGCCCATGACGAAACACGCCGCGAAGCTGAACCAGATCCTCACGGAGACTTGCTCCGAGTGGTTCAAGATGAAGGTTGTTAAGGAGACCCCCAGCGAGCCGCCAAATGCCGATATGTACCTCTACTCTGAGCCTCCCTCGGTAGAGGTGCTGGAGAAGCGCTTCAAAGATAATTCGCGAAGATCGCCTAGCCAGAGGAAGGCGCCCTTTATCATTGTGTGCCCGACGGCAGAAGAGGCGGTCCACATTCTCCAGGATCACAGCAAGCTATTGTTGGACTTTTCGGAAATCGTCGAGGTGATACCGCAACCGTAAGTAAACAAGTCTTGGGATGGAACCCTTCATAACTGTACCCAGAATTAACCAATAACTGCAGATGCGGCCCACGGAAACTAGCCAAAGTGTTTAGCCACTGCCTCAAGCGGGTAGAAGAGTTGGAGAGAACCCAAGCAATGGCGCGCAACACATCCGGGCTGCTGGCCCCGATACCTCTAGCTCCCGACAGCCCCACCCCCGGCACCAACGAGATCCGCCAAGTCGAACGAGTCGGCACCCCGCTCCACCAGCAAGCCAGACCAGAGCAAATCGAGCCCGCCTTGGGTGCGCAACCCCTCATCAAGCCCCTGGGCGCAATGGCGCTCTCCCCGGCCCTCAACGGCGGCCAGCCCGTCCTCGTACCACAGAAGAACGTGACGCTACATGTCCTCCTCGTGGACGACAACCAGATCAACCTCAAGCTGCTCGTCATGTTTATGAAGAAGTGCGGCTTCACGTACGAGCAGGCTGAGAACGGGCAGGAGGCGCTCGACCGGTTCATCGAGGCGTCGAGCTCGTCCATCGAGGCGAGCGCGAGTAAGCGGCGGCGGTTCGATTTCGTGCTCATGGATATTAGCATGCCCATCATGAACGGGTTCGAGGCGACCAAGAGGATACGCGAGTACGAGCGGGAGCACAGGTTGCAGGCGACGACGGTGGTGGCGCTGACGGGGCTGGCGAGCGCGGATGCAAGGAGGGATGCTGAGACGTCTGGGTTTGATGTGTTTTTGCCCAAGCCGGTGCGTTTTGCCGAGTTGCAGAAACTTCTCACGGCGTCATGATGGTCACGTCTCGGACAGTGACTGCTCGAGGCAGTCTTCAACCCTTTTTCCTTCTACCCCGAGCATAATATACAAAGACGCTTTCTAGGAAAATAGACTAGGTCGTCTTGACGTCAATTATGATTTTTTCAGACCTGACGTGGAAATATTTACGGGGTTTTATCAAGTCATTGACGGTTACATACATGGTTTGTAATTACGATATAAAAAGACCAATACCATATTTATATTTCTTCGTTGCCTCCTTTTGTGCTTGTCTCCATCTTTCCGTTCTAAAACTTTGGGTTTTTCCCCATCTATGAGTCTAAAACGAGATTCTCCACGACTATTGATCCCCTTCAAGCACCAGCCGTTCTTCATCCTTCCCTCCCTTCCCCCCCTCTTTGGAAATAGCTTACTCATCCTGGGAAAGAATAGGAGCCGCCGCAGGATTGTACGAGGTCCCAAAGCCCTTTGCCAGCACGGCACACGCATCGTGGACGAGTTTCCTGCTAATCTGGTGCACACTAGGAGGTAGAAAAGTCAGCATATCAGGCCACATCCAAGCAACAAGCAAATTACTCCGCCCATCAAAACCAAAGAATGAGAAGAACATACCCAGCAAGCACAAGCACAGAATGCGTCGCCCCCTCGTACACCGCACTCTCAACCTCCACCCCATTCTCCTTTAGCAGGTCCGCATACGCCAACCCCTCCGTCGTTAACAAATCCACGCCCGCAACAGCGAGCCACGTCTTCGGACTCTTGGCCAACAGCTCGCGCGGGGCGAAGCACGGCGAGGCCTGCCACTGCTTCTTGTCGAGGTCGCCGCGGGCGAAGTAGAGGTCTTGGTACCAGCCCATGCGGGTGGGTGTTAGCCAGGGGACGTGGCGGGTGGCGGACCAGCCTGTCGAAGCGGTTGCGGTTGAGTCGATTACGGGGCAGATTAGGAGCTGGGAGATTGGTGGCGGGGAGACGAGGGTGGGGGAGAGGGTGAGGTTCATTGTTAGAATTGCGGCGAGGTTGCCGCCTCTAGGTGTTTGTTAATATTGGTATTTGGTTTAGAAGGGGGGGTGAGAGAGGGTAAGGGGGAAGGGGAAGAAGTGCCACATACGCTGAGAGACCGCCGATGGTGATGAGGGATGTGTTGATGCCCAGACGGGAGGCGTTGGAGGGGTCGTAGAGCCATTTCAGGCCTGTGAGGCAGTCGTCTACGGCGGCTGGGTAGACGTGTTCCGGGGCGTGGCGGTAGTTTATCGTGACGACGACGCACTTTACATCTGTTTTTTAGAGTTTCTATCAACGTTCACTCATTCACTCACTATTTCTACTTTCCGAGACCTTCATCTCTTCATGAAGATCTCATGCAAGGCGAAGAGGGGAGCCAGAGAGAAAGAGATGACCAACATTTACAAACATGCGTCAAGAAGCCATTCTCGCTATCCAACCCACCATTCACCCACCCGCCGCCGTGAAGCCAGACCAAGCACGGCCAGCCGCCTTCAGGATGAAGTCCCTCGGGGACGAAGACGCGCACCTGGATCTCCTCGCCGGGGATATCTTCGTCCCACTGCTTGCCGACGGGCGAGAGCTTCTGCGTGGTGTGCGCGAGCGGGTTCGGCGCGGACCGCGAAGCGGGATCCCAGGGCCGGGCTTCGGAAGGTTCCATGTACTGGATGATGGAATCGTGGAGGGCGACGTATTCCGGGTCCAGCTTGGCGCGGACGGAGGGGTGGATTGGTTGGTGGATTGTCCTTGGGTCCGCCATTGTGTTTTGGTGAGATGGGGAATGAGTTGTTTGGCTTAGTTTGATGATCTTATCTTCGGCTTGTACTGTGTACGAGGTGCGGTAAACCCTCGTATGAAAGTAGCCCCGGTCTACTGTTGTATAGAGCGGTGTCGTTGAACTTCACTTTGGTTGGAAGTTGAAAGTTGAGAGAGAAATGAGCGGTAGTTGAAGATAGTTGACGTGATTGGTGAAGTGGAGCTCTTTGAGGTTGAAAAATGAGGCTTTTTAGAAAGTTTTGTGGTGAACGGACCCTTATCCCACCCCATCCCGTAGCTTGAGATTTGCCTGTTCTCGGTAATCTTCGTTCAAATTCGGATGGGGCGTCCCGCGCGGCACTTGATCGGACGGGTAGAGACCCGCTATTCCACGATTGAGTCAAGATTTAGTGTCTTTGAAGTGATGCATGTCGCCAACGACTGGTAGGTGACCAGACACGCCTATTCCGCAGTCACGATGATGAGGTGAGAGGCAGGTGGAAAAAATGAATGAATGGTGAGTTGTTCCTTCTAGTGTATTAGCGCTGGATACGTACGGATGCACGTCGTGGAGCAAGAAGAGACGATTTCCTACCTTTTCAAGAATAACCTCACGTTCATCACTTGTAGTCCATCCAGCCTCGACTCAACCTGGGTGCCTGTGTGGGAGAGGGAGTGACATATCGCTCAACACATCTTTAATACCACCTCTACCTTTACCTCTACCACAATGACCATCATGGAATGATAAAATTCATAAAATGTTCACTTTGGCCAACGTGGGTATTTCTTCACTGACCTGCTGCCCTATTCATGACAGACTGTACTCATCATTGATGAAGACTGCACCAGAACGGATTTTCGACCGCACGGGCTACACAAGTTGTGAACCACGGGGGAAATATGAAAGAAATAAGAACGGAGTGGCGCAAAGAACGGAACGGCGACGAGCTACTGCTCAGGCTTTCCTCACCTCACTTGGATTATGCACATGATTTTAACTATCACTTCTCAGCTCTCGGGCAATGTTGAGCACTGGGTATAAAGCCTGCTGAGTTGCAAGATAGCCACATTGGCTTCCATGCAAACGGCAAACCGCCGGCCAGCTGCTGCAAATCATACTTATCTTCGGCTTCCCGGTTGTCATCAGCAGATTGACAATTTGAAGAGAGGAATTTGACCCATTTCATAAAGACGACAGGGAGGAAAAGATCATCGCGACCTTCCGAAAGTGCGGAAAAGTGCTTGGCTTGTGAACGGAAAAGTCACGATATGGTTGGTCTTGGCAAAATGGCGATGCTGATGCTGCAATATGAGTAGGCGTCACCGCCTTCTCACAATGGAGAAGATGCCAAGCATCGAAGCAGGCCAACCGGCTTAACGACCGCCGAAGGAATCGAGTTGTTCTTAATCTCACTCTCAATATGCCAGGGCAGCTACATCACCAGTCGGCCTTCTGATTGGTGTATAAACTTATCGGCAATTTGGAGAACGTGAGTGCCGAGTTGCCAGAGAGAAAACGACGTCCTGCATGCAAACCTGGATAACTGGGAAGGAGCCGATAGGAAATATTCCTCATATTCCCGGCTGACTACTGCCGCTCCAGCATACGGACTGTTGTTGAGGAAGCCCCGGTAACGCACCAGCTTAAAAGGGTTTGCAAGTAGGTACACGCCAGAGATTATACAGACAGTAAGCATCTTACTCTGGATCTATGGAAACCGATGACAACTGAATATCATCCAAAATTGGCATTGCCTCCAGTTCATCTCAAGCTACCTAGGCGATGACTTGCACGGGGTTTCCCCGGGGTGAAAATAAGCATAAGAGCAGACTACTGGGCTTCCCCGCTCCGGCCGGTCTCTTCTCCCGATCTTCCCCTCAAACTTCAACGTGAGTTGAGTACCTTGGTCCTTGGCCCCGCAATCTTGGACGGCCCTGCTTTTCCGTCAAGCTCCAGAGCTTCGAGCCAACTACTAGCTTATGTGATCCGCGGCTTGACATCATGCCTCGCTTTCCTGGGGTTAATCAGATGCCAAGAGTGTCTTCTCCATTCCAAGCTCTTACTATATGCTCATATGAACGCATCGGATAAGCAAGGCTGCAGATGGAATGGAACCAAAACGACTCAGTCAAATTGGCCAGCTCTTGGCCGATCTTGGACGGAGTCACAATGAGGGGAACCTTGAAGATGGCAGAACTTCACGAGATCTCTTGAGCCGGGCGGTGCTCCCATTGAGAGGCAGGCTCTGATATAAATAGTCAACCTTGGGAGATGCCATGATGGAATACTACGCTCGTCGGCTTGATCTTCGTCCTTCAAGCTGTTGACACGTTGAAAACATCAAACATCTAGCTGGGCAGCATTCAATATTTAGTCGAGATGAAGATCACCACACTCGCAGCCACCGCGCTCGCCGGCGCCACCCTCTCATCCGCAGCAATCTCCCTCCCCAACGGCTGGTTCGCCATCGCGCCCGACGAGAAGCTGAAATCCGGCAAACTCGACGGCGAGCCCCGGTACCTTACATGGATGGCCGACTCCCAGATCAAGCACGGCGTAGAGCCGACCTACGCTTATACAATCTCAGCCTTCTACTCGGGCGTCCTGCGCGCCTTTGAGAGGACCGGCGACAAGCGGTACTACAACTACGTCAAGCATGCCACAGATATCCTCCTCTACCCTTCCCAAGACGGCGAGATCCTCCTCTACAACAACAGCAACTCCATCGACGACATCCGCTTCGGCCACACCTTTCTCGACATCTACAACGCCACCGGCGATGAAATCTACAAGACCGCCGCGCAGACCCTCCGTCACCAGATCGATCGCACAGGCCGCTCCCCGGACGGCGGCTTCTACCATCGCTACCCCGTCTACATTGACCAGATGTGGCTCGACGGCATCTACATGCTCGACGTCTTCTACGCTCGCTGGATCGCCGAGTTCGAACCGGATAACACCACCGCGTGGGACGATATCGCGCTGCAGTTCGATCTCGTCACCGCGGGTACGATCCTCGGGAACGCGACAAACGGCTTGCCGCTTCACGGCTTCGACTGGAGTAAGAAGGCCATCTGGGCTGACCCGGAGACGGGCGCCTCGCCTAATGTATGGGGCCGCGCTGTTGGGTGGTACGTCATGGCGCTCGTCGACACTCTTGAGCTCTTCCCCCTGAACCATCCGGCTCGCGAGCGTCTGATTGGGTATCTGCAGCACGTCTCGGACGCCGTTGTTGCTGCACAGGATGAGAAGACAAAGGGATGGTGGCTCGTCATGACGCCAGGTACCGAGGGCCAGTGGGGCAACTACATTGAAAGTTCGGGGTCCGCCATGTTTGTGTACGGCTTGCTCAAGAGTCTTCGTCTGGGCTACATCGAAGGCGAGACTTATCTTAAGTCTGCGCTTAGCGGATACAAGTTGATGACGGACACGTTCTCCGACACGCGCAAAAGTGATAATGCTCTCGTCTGGGGGTGGACTGTGCAGACTGGCAGCTTGAGCTCCAACGGCACGTTTGAGGTATGTGGAATTTTCATTCCGTGCTATGAATACATTGATTGGCCCTCGATTCTGATCCTTCTTTCTAGTACTATGCTAGCATGCCCCTGTTTGAGAACGATCTGAAGGGTGTTGCTCCCTTCCTCTTTTCCAGTTATGAGTACGAGTTGTACCTAGAACAGAAGAAGTAACAGCCAAGTGCTGAAGAATAGAGTTGATCTCACGTTGATAATCCATGTAAAGTACGGGGTCCAGTATGCTGGCGTAAGGGAGCAAGAGAACAAGAAGTTTTCGTACAATGAGCGGTCACTCCAAATCATTCTTATCGACCCGCTTCTCTCGTCGACGCAGGAGGCCTCTCTGCAATGATCGTAAGACAGCACCCATTCTCTGGCGTCTCTTGCTGAGAGTGCCGACGATGTTCGGCTTACGGGACGAAGACTCGGCCTGCTCCTCCTAGGCAGTAGAGAATTCAATCTTCTTGACCGTCTTGTCGTTATTGGCCGTATCCTTGTTTCCCTCTTCATTGGGGCTCACCGCTCCATCTGCAACTTGTTGCGAATCTTGCTGAGTATGGGATGATTTGTCGGCAGCCGTCGAAGGTGTGTTATGGAACCGTGGACTCGACGGTGATTTGATTCTCTTCTTCAGCAGCATCCGTGTGTGAGATCTAGAAGCGATCATCTCGTCGAAGTCGTCGTCTTCGTTGTCGCCTTCATCACCCCCGTTGTCATTGTCAAACTTGTAGGCTCTCGGGTCTACAGCAGCAGCTAGCGAGAATGCTGCATACAGGTTCGCCCGCAGATCCAAGAGATCACAGTCGGGCAAGTCCTCCTCATTGTAGGCGCAGATCCTGATGATCTCTCCGCCGATCACGGGATGAGCAGTTGTGTTATTAAAGACCCCAAAGTTCATGGGATCGAAGTCCTCGAAGTGCCGGCGGGGATCAGTGTTGAAAGGAATGGTTGCTGCATACCCGGAAACTCGGTCTATTGAAGCCAGTAGAAGATCAACTTCAAGACCCATACGCCTTTCACCTGAGGTTCTTCAGCTGGGTCTTCTGCTGGAAATGGGACAAACATCTGAACTGGTCGACCCATCGGTTTGAGGATGAACTCTCCAGTGTACCAATGATTGTCCATCGATCGGTCCATGCAGATCATGTTACGACGAGTGTCGATGATGTTTTCGTCGCAAGATTCCGACGTGAGTTTCTTCAAAAGCGCGGTGACGCTATCATCCGAGTACCGTGATCTCATTCCTTCCAGTTGCTTGACCATATGGGTTCTCGATCTCAATAGATCAAGTGGAATGATGCGGACCACGTCACTGTCGAAACTTCGCTCTGTGATGATGCAGCGTTTGCAGTCGCGTAGGCGTGCCTTGCGTGGAAAGAACGTCAATACTGCCTTGTTCCTTTTGTCGTTGCCATTGAGGAGCAGCTGATACTTACAAATTCGAATTCGGACATGTCACCCAACGGCCGAGCTGGGTACAACTGCCTGATAGGCTCTTTCGCATACCCTTGTATGACTGAGCAACGAATTAGTAGACTCACATCAGAACAGACTGGGCGTACCATACGTGAACGAAGAAGCATTGGCGTTGCCATGGACCATGCCGGGAAGTCGGTCAGTAGAAGCCTCTTTGCCTTGGCACTAGTCATATCGTCCAGGTCGCGTCGAACTTCTTCCAACCTCTCCAAGTCCATGGTCATCAACATGGACCAGAACGAAGCCTTGTCAAGGTGGAGCTCCTTCATCGAGGCATCCGTATGGAACTGTCTACACAGCTGATTGATTTGTTGCACCAATGGGATCTTCTGGTCGAGGTCCTTGTGATAGTCGCTGTCGGGGAGCCGCTTTGGGTACGATGTAAGACGTCGATGGAGTTGTTCAAGATCAAGCATGGAGGGCTTGCTGTTTGATATCAGTAATCTAGCAAGTAAATCCATGAAGATCAGCGTAATATTTACCTGGGGCCTTCTCGGCTCAAGAAAGCATCCTGTAATCGTTGCATCTCGTGTAGGACGGTCAGACTGTCGGGGTCGGGATTGCTGTTCAGTATCAGTCATCTATCAAGCAGAATATTATCTGGATTGTTGCGATGTACCCTTTGGAGCCTTTCGGAGTGAAGCGTTGCTCCATAAGTCGGAGGAACACGGGCTTCAGGGCGACGGCCACGGGGTTAGGGCCTGATTCGCGGCCAGGTATCGGCCCATGCACATGGCTTTGGAGAAAACGCGCGATGAAAGCGTCGTCCATCGAAGCGAAGTCCATCAAAGCGAGATCTATCGAAGCGGCGTTCATCATGTGTAAAGAAGAGAAAGTGAAGCTGAGAAATTGCTTTAGACCGACTCTTCTGAGGTAGGAACTGTTGCGAGAGAAGCGTGAAGGCGGAGGAGGAGAAAATAAAAGGTGAGCCAGGTGTTCAGGTGGGTGGCGGGAGGTAGGTAAGGTAATTGGGTTGGTGGGTGGGAAGAAAATTCCGCGGGCGTTAGGATGGAAGTGAGAAGAGGGCACGGGAATGTCTGCCTCGGAAGGCAGCACCTGAATTTCGTTTGTTCTTGCTCCTTCCCTGCGGGCTGCCGCTTTTCACCTCCTCAGTTCTGTTTCTATTAGACTATTGCTAACACTATCCATGGATCTCTACTGCTTTGATTGTCCTTTGTGGCTGGATTTTCTTCGATCTTCTTCACAGAATATACATAGAAGGACAAAGCAAAAAGACACTCATAAGGGCAGCTGTGATAGCCTAGAGCTTAATTGAGCTTAATACCATGTGTTATCTACTTGGTTGACTGTTTGGGCAAAGTCTTGATAATTGAGGGAATGACATCTGTAGGTTTTTTTTAAGTCATGAGTTTAAGACAGCCGCCCATAACGTGCCTAGAAGGGAAGTCAAAGATAGAAAGTCCAAGGCGATTAATGCGGTCTGGACTCAGGTTTGCTTCTACTTCTCACGCTCGGCATCGCTTTTGTCTCGGAATTTTCTAGAACACAACTGGCCCAGGACAAGGCGCTTTCCTAAAGCTTTGTACCCACCCCCTTTGCTTCAAGCTCAACCTCTGTTCTACAGTCGAACCCGAAGAAAGTTTCTGAGTCTTTGAATCTATTTATATGGTTTGATCATTTGTAGACTGAGAGGAATCGCAGGGCCATGATGAATTTTGATTTTGCCCAGCATCTCATTCATGACATGTCATGTATCACTTAGTATCGATGGCCAACACCTATATTTCATTGGAAACTGCAGTAATGTAAACAGTGTGATCCGAGATTTAGATGCGCCTCTTCTTGTTGGCGTTGTTGTTGTTCCTGTTCCTTCCGTTCCTCCCAGTGCCAGTATTACCAGTATTGCCATTGTTGTTATTGGTCGCGCCGCCAGCACTAGCACCGCTTACACGCTCGCATCTCTCACCGCCATCGCCGTTACCACAACGGAGGGGTAGCAAGCAGCAGCCATCGGGGTCTGCGAATTGCTCCAGGCCATTGGCGCCCTTGCCGAGGGATTGGCAGTCAGGTCCATCCGGGAAGCCGCATCTTTATTCGAATTCTTGATTAGCAAAGAAGGTTTATCTCAAAAGGAACAACACGATCAGCCTGAACTTACCCATTCTGAGCGAGGATGCCGGCGGAGAAGAGGGTTAAGATGATGGCTGAGAAACGCATTGTCGAAGTGCTGTGATTGAGGATTGTTTAATCGAAGATTTCTGCGCAGCAGATTGAAGATTGTAATTATAAGATGTAAGTAGGTAAGAAGCACAAGGCAAATGCAGTCGAGTTGAGATGGGTTGATTGAATTGAGACAAGAGCCATGAAGTGAGCAACTCCTATCTAGATTTATAGCACTTGAATTGATCCTATTAACCAAGCTCAGCTATGATCTGCAAAAGTCTCAGCTCCTAAACATCTTGGCTGAAGTTTTCAGCCGTTTTGCCAGGTAGTATCGCTTACTCCGAAAGGAGTACCCCGTATTACTAGATAATACGGGGTAGTAAGCCCATCCACAGGACAGGCCCACCCGCGGAGTCCCTGCGAAACTCGGCTCTAAAACCAAGCTTAATGGACCTCGGGTCTTGATTCACGGGGTGTGTCAGGATTGGGCAGAGCCAAGACAGGTACATGGTTTAAGCTTCCACTTTCAGTTCATCACGAAAGGAAAATTGAGAAAATCTTGAAGATCGCGCAGAGTTTCCTTGCAGAAAATTTGGCTAAGAGGCTGGTATAAGACTCTGAGAATGCAGGATAATAGATGCAGTCTGAAGAAGCCTTGGGTTGAGAATTTGACTCGCGACAGTGCTTTTGGCTGGTTCCATCCACTGACCAAGGAAGTCATCAGGCAAACCAGTATGAATATGTACTGTGATGCCAACGAGAAAGATGCTAAGACGAGGGCTAGGCCCAGCATCGGTGTCATCCGATTTCCTTGAACTCCCTACATGCGGACTACTCCTGTCATGCAACTTGACGTGGGCTGCCGTCTGAAGATGCCCGGTGAATCTCACGCGTGCTTTCGTCAGTGCGTAGACTCTGTCTCCAATGTCGGTAATGTGAGCTAGGAAGATGCCTTCAACAGCCTACCCTAAAGGAGGTCTTAGACTAACTCATTGGTACACGTCATTTTTCAATATTATTTGATCGTGGCTTGCATTCTTACTGATCGACCAAGGCTGCACATCAAGCCAGAACATAGGACAAGTATTCCTCCAATAGTTCGGAATAGCGAGGGACATGGCTATCATCTAGTACGATGATGTGGCACATCTCCTGTGTTTCGACCGAGCACGCTTGCCTGCTAGATTCCTTTGGAGCAGGAAAACGAACGGCGGTTTATGTAACGAGCAAGCGGTGCATCTTTCAGTCAAGGTAACCTGAGCCCTATTGCAGTTCTAGGCCCCTGGACGCGAGGGCTGATGTGAGGCGAATCCGTGGTGGAAGCTTTCGAAACTCGTTCTATAGCTGGGTAGATCCCTCGCATCAACCCAGGGGGGGCTGAGCCTGCCGAGGAATGCGAGTGCGTCGGATATCGCCCGCCAGCCAGCCCATGCGCAGACTTGCTAATGCTCTGCTTTTGGACCTCATATCGGGCGAGTCTAGAAGCGTGAGAAGAGATCCACACTATTTAGTATAACGAAGCTTCGGATCAGACGGGTCAAGTCGCTTCCTATGAACCCAGAGACTTTGACGAAATAAGACTCGCAATGCCGTTTGCTATAGCTTATTGCGGATAACCTTACCCCTTGTTGGGGTACCAGAGTTCCATGATGAAACAGGTCACCGGTGGGATGGAAGCATTTGGACCCTCATTGAGACTCAGTCTGGGGCAAAACTGCATTATCCATTTCCTAGGCACGTGAGCTATTATGGTGGGAAATTTATGAAATTATTTTTGGGACTTAAATGTTCTGAGATCTACCTCTACGACCCGCCAGCATTTTACGTCTCTCGTTCAGGATCCATCGTTCTTCGTGTCAGTTTATCGTCGTGTAGCCAACACTAAGCTGCTGAAAGCTAGAACTGGTGACCCTTCGATTTCAAGCTTGGCTGGGTACTGACATCCACATTCAAGATGTTTTTAAGGTTGGCGTCAATAACTAATTGTGGTTCTGGCTTGTCATCGGCTCATCACGCAAATCGCCAACGGATTCGCAGATCAATAATGAGGAGTCTTTGAGAGCCTTTGAACAGCGTGAGAAAGATACGAATGTTTCCTCAAGTGGATGGTAGCTGAGTCTAGATGTAAGAGATTGATCATTTAGATTTGAGTTATGTTGACGAATGGTAATCATATCGTGGTGATGGCATTGTCCACACAGCAAAAACGAACAACAATCTTTTCAACTCGAGCAATTCGAGGATTAGTCAACCACCAAGTCTCGAGTGACGTTTACTACGAATAATCTTCAGGTCCTCCACTGACATGACTAGTGAACACCCAGCAAATACATAAACCAATCAAAGCACCCCGTGGATCACCAGCGATCGCCATTTGGGAAACCCGGCAAGGACGGCACGTTAAACGAGATCCTATGCGGGCCCGCCATGTCAATTGGAGCGCGGACATCGGCCACGCTAGATAACAAAAGGAAGCTCGGTCCCCAGCGATCCCTGGCAAACGGTGCTTTGGTGCGTTATCAAGTTTATCCCACGTGTCTGGGTTGTCTTGTTGCTTTGGATGATAGCAAGATAGTAGCTACGCAAGCTGCGATTTCGGTCGCCCCCGATGGAGAGATATTGAATGAGGGGGGAGAACGATGGGTTATCATTTGCCGCGTCAGCGCGGCAGAGCTGCAGCTACCCGGGATACCACGCCGTCTCCAGGTGCTGCTCTTGGCTCCATGTAGAGAAAAAGCTTGTTCGAGCGGGAAGCGCATCTTTTAAAAGCTTGGCTGCATGCCTTTCCCACGCCTTGTATCCTGGGCCTAGCTGACCTGCTCAGAGGATCTCGTCAATCGTTGCTTGAGTCCGCCAGACAGTCTGCGAATAAGGGTTTCCAGACGTTGAGCCATTCGTTCTTTTGTTCAATTGGTAGCCTATTCACGTCGCAATGCGTGTGGGAAACAGCATCTGGGCCTCTCTGGCCCTTGCGTTCGGCGCCGTCCCGGCGCTCGCCTGTGAGAGCTGCGAGCATCCCGAGAGAGACGTCGTTCTGACCAGAAATGTTCGTCGCGCGCAGCCCGACGCTCAGGCGGCCGCCGTTGCGCCTCGTGGTCCGCTCTCGTGGGGTCAATTGAACTTTCTTCACACCACTGGTAAGCTGGAATCAAGCTGCAAACAAGGAATTGCAACTTTTGGTTTACTGACAGCCTCTACATAGACACCCACGGATGGTACGGATAGAATTTCTACCTTGGCACTTGGCGACACAACTCGGATGCTGACAAAATTACAGGCTCGAAGGACACATCCGCGAGCAAAACTACGGCGCTGACTGGGGTGACTTTGTGAGCTTTGTCAAGCACATGCGCAAGAAGGCCAAGGACCTGGATGTTGACTTGCTGGTGGTCGACACGGGTGTAGGTTTCCGCCCATGAGCCATCCTCAACACCAATGCGCTAGAGCATAACTGACATACATCTAGGACTTGCACGATGGCGCAGGAATTAGCGATGCCACTGGTGTCTCGACTTACGCCAACGGCACTGGGGTCAACGGCCAATTGTCGAACCCGATCTTTGAGAACATTGACTACGATGTCTTGGCCATTGGCAACCACGAGCTCTACGTTTCCGCCATTGCGTTCGAGACCTTCAGCCAGTTCGCCAAGGTCTACGGTGATAGGTACTTGACGAGCAACGTCCAGATCCGCAACCCCGGCACGGGAGCGCTCGAGACGATCGGCAAGCAATACAGATACTTCACCACTCCCAAGGGTATGCATTCCCATCCACCTTTTCTTGTGTTCGGTTTGTCCCGTTCAGTTATTCTAACGAATCCGCGACAGGCCTCAGAATCATGGCCTTTGGCGTCCTCTTCGACTTCACCGGCAACTCCAACGCCTCCGTCGTTACAAAGGCCGCCACAATGGTCAAGCAGCAATGGTTCCTTGATGCTGTCGACTACACGGAACCCATCGACCTCTTTCTCGTCATCGGCCACAACCCCGTCCGCCCGACGCAGAGCAGCAGCACACTCAAGACCGTCTTTGACGCCATCCGCGCCGTCAAGCCCGACACCCCCGTCCAATTCTTCGGTGGTCACACCCACATTCGCGACTTTGCCGTATACGACGACAAGTCCACCGCCCTCGAGTCCGGCCGGTACTGCGAGACCGTCGGTTGGCTGTCGCTGAGCGGCGTAAAGTCGGACAGCTACAAGGGCGCCGTGTATCCCAAGGGCGTGCCTCACCCGTCTCAGAAGGCCGTCAACGTGACTGCTGGACAGACGGCTGCTACTGGAAACTCTAGCATCACGTACTCCCGCCGCTACCTGGACTGGTAAGACTAACATACACAGACACCAAGATTCCGTAGTTGTACTGACCCTATTCCCCAGGAACACCCTCACCTTCGAGTACCACGCAGTCGGCAGCCAGCACAAAGCCTTCAACACCACAAAGGGCCTCGCCGTCTCCGCAAACATCACGGCAACCCGCAAGAAGCTCAACCTCACCTCCCTCTACGGCTGCGCGCCCCAGACGTGGTGCATCGCCTGCGCGCCCTACATGTCCGCCGGCTCCATCTACTCCCTGCTGACGACCGCCCTCTCCGCCACAATCGTCACCGAAGCCCGCAAGGCCACCCCGCGCATCATCCTCGCCAACACGGGCCACATCCGCTTCGACCTCGCCCAGGGCCCCTTCGACTACGACTCCTCCTTCATCGTGTCCCCCTTCACCGACGGGTTCCAGTACATTCCCGACGTCTCGTGGTCTCTGGCGCGTCAGGTCCTCGCGGGTCTCGAATCCGGCGGGTTCCCCTCTAAGCGCAGACGTTCTCTCGCCTCAGACTCCTTTGGCTTCGGACAGGTCAACCCGGCTCTCTCGGCCGTCGATAGCTGCATCGACCCGCACGTGACGAATGACCACTTCTCCAAGCGGTCCTACGCCGGCGGACGCATCGTCAGACGCCAGGCCGTCACGCCGGGGTACACGACCACCGACGACTTTGGCACCGACGGAGACGATACCGTGCACAGCAAGATCCCGACGTACGACTACCCCGACTTCTTCCAGGCCAACGGCAGCTTCCCTACCAGCGGCGAGCTTGCCGACGACGACAAGATTGATCTCATCTTTTTGGACTACGTTGCAGGATCCGTCGTCTCGGTGCTGCGCTCTCTCGGGGGCAACTACACGTCTGCTGACGTCTCTTACTATCTGCCTAGCGTAAGTCAATGTCCTGGAGGATGGGTGACCGTCGTTTACCTGGATGTGATGAGCTGACTTGTCTCATAGACTTTCACGACCAACTCGTATCTGCCCGCGTTCGCAAAGAGCAACGAGGCATGGCAGGCAAATGTGCCGAATTGCCCCGTCGGATTGGGCATTGGCTACAACACCACCAGTTCTTGAGATTGAGTTTAAATTGGGACTCTCGAGTACACAAGCGGCATCCAGGGGGCCGTGGAGATCGTGTTATTGACCTAGGTATATCTGGGCCTCATCAGGTGTTTGGCGCATGAGACCACTCGCAGGACCTCTCATCCGCTACCGGTACATACTTTTTATCTTCAATTGCACATATTTTGCACCTATTTTGCACTCTACTGAGCGTCTCTAATCCATGGGTTCTGATCTCTGGTTGTCGTGACTACTCACATATCATGACTAGACAGCCAAGTGTTCCGCGCCTAGGGTGTAAGTCACCTTCGCGAAGCCAAAAACCCAAACGACCAAGCCCAAGACTTTTATCTTCATCATTTCATCCTCCATCATGCAAGCATCTCAAATCGTCTCCGACGTCTTCAACCCAGCAGTAACCCCCGAAACAGTAAGATGCGCAGCCTTAGCAACCGTTTTGCGATCATTCACCTCGGCGCGAAACTCGGGTCCAAACGTAATCGTAATCGCATCCCTCTTTGTCACCCGCCTACTCTCCACCGACTGCGGCGAGACGTACGCTTTGGCCCGGTACGAAGGCTGCCAATTCGTCGCCGCGTCCCGGAGTAGCCTCTCCAGGTTCGCCTCGGTCATCGACGAGGAGGAGGAGGACGACGACGAAGATGCAGAAGAGGCCGATGTGGAGGCGAGCCCGTCGAGGTACCGGAATATCCACCACGACTGCCCTGCCTTGTTGACGAGCACGCCGAACAGCATCCATAAGGCGCCGTCCTTTCGGCTGAGTGAGTTTGCGTGGAGTCGGACGAGCGCGCCGTGGGCTTCTACTGCGTTGAAGACTGCCGAGTTTGGTGCCGAGTCTAGTCCAGTCGTCGCTGTTGTTGTGGTTGTTGTTGTCGTTGATGATGGCGGGAACTTAAACTTCTTCATGGTGATGAACCCGGCCATGGAATCCGTGTACCGCGGTATCGCCTCGATGCGTGTAAAGATCTCGACGCCGGAACCCCGGCTGTGCATGACGAGGAGCATGATGGCGTACTCGCCCAGGTGAAAGCTCGAGTCGTGGGGCTTAAGCTGGACGATGCCGAGATCGCTCCCCGGCGCCTTTGAGGGGACGAAGATGTCGTGGACTTCGACCTTGAGGCTACCAGACTTCAAGAGCCCGAGGTCGCGCGTGTTCCATCGCAGCGAGATGGGGCGGGGGAAATCCCGGACGACTCTGTACGTGTCCACCAAGCCGGTGCTCTCCAGGGGCACCCCGATGAGGTGGCCGCCCTTTGTGCTGGCGGACAGGATACCGATACACTCTGGGGGCCGGAAGCCAAAGTTGGAAATGCGGATGTTGGCAGGGCGTACCAGCATCAACTGTATCGACAAGCCAAAGTTGGTCATGGAGTACGGCACCGGCCTGCTCGAGGGGTCATGCGCCGGGTGATAATCCTGCCCATTTCTGAAGTTGCGCGGCGACGGCGCCAGCATGCTGACCCACGACCCCGGGTCGCTCTCGGTCCAGGACCAGCAAAAGAGCGACTGGTCCGTCGACGTCTTGAGGATCTCCTCCTGCAACCGCGCAAAAGCCTTCGCGCCCTCGCCGTAGAGGAGGGGCATGTTGATGTCAAAGATACCGAGCATGCAATACGCCATGTCCTCCTCGCGGGTCGTCTTGCGGCACGACAGCCACGACATGCGCTCGGCGACGCTGGCGTCGGACAGGCGTTTCCTGCTTCGCGGCTGGAGGTATTTCCAGTCGATGTTTGTGATTCTTTGGATGACGCCCGCGAGGAGCTTGCGGGTGCCCAGGAGGCTCCAGCCGCGGGCGAAGAAAAGGACCTCCCGTGGGGCCAGGAGCTCTTGGAGCGTCCAGCCGCGGGTGAACCAGAGGCTCCGCGAAAGGATGTCGAAGCTGTGCTCTGCGTCGCCGGCGGGCCCGTCTAGCCGTTCCGCGTGATCTACGTCCGACAGATAGGCGTAGCACCGTACCGCGCACTCGTACCACGCAAACATGGAGTTGATGGCCTCGGACAGCTCGGCGGAACTCTCCTTGTTGATGCAGCAGGTGTCGATCCAGAGGTAATCGAGTCCATCGTCAATCGCCTGGATCCTGGCCATGTCGATCTTACGAAATCCTTCTCTTTCCCTTGCCACGCACAAGTCCTCCTTCCAGTCTTGGAAAGTTACTTCATCGTGGCCCCATGTGTGGGAGACGATGGCGTACCGCGGGATCTCGTCGCCAAAGAACTCGGCCAGGGCCAAGGTGCGTGTGTTGATGAGGCGCATCGCACGTGGCGCGGCAGAAGCGAAAGGTGCCGCGGTGAAGACATGTATTTTGCGTCTGGCTTACTTAGGTTTGGCAAGGCATGTCATGTCATGCTGCTGGAGATTCCATGTGTGCGCAACTCAGAAGATCGAAGCTGAGAAGCGGGGACATTTGCTGACCGTTGCGAGACTTGAAAGTCAGTCCTACACCGTTGGTTAGATCAAATGTAACCTCCCAGCTAGCGGTAACGATGATCGCCCAGGAGGTTCAGATGATGCCAGCTGATGCCAGATGTCAGAAAATACTGTGTCACGATGCCTCCTACGTTGTGATGACAGAGATGATGGCCTACAATAATTGAAACCACCTTTAAGCCTCATTAAAATAGCTGCGTTGTATAACCAACGACTACTCTCTTTTGTTTCCTCCAGTTTCGTTACTGCTGTCGACGATTACTCGGAAGGTGTATTTGTCGTAGGGTATGTATGGCGTTAATTACTGCCCGCAATTAACGGCGTCGTTTTTGCAACAGTATTCTTTCGGCTAGTGTTTCCTGGCACTCTCTATCTTTCTTCCTCTCCAAGCACAATGTCTATCGAAAATACAACCGAATTAGTGCGGCAACGATCACATCCAGCGTAAACCTCGTTGAAAGACACTGGAACTAGCCTGACCAAAGCCCGCACCGTCGGAATCCGAGTCGCCGTAATCCGAACCGCCGTAAGGATGATAAGATTCGCCTTCGTCCGACGACTCCCACATGTTGTGGACAGCGGTATTACCGATGTCATTGCCGCAGACCTGACATGTGTTGGACTCCTTCGGCCCCGGGCACCCCCAAACGGGACACTCTATGTCCTTGTTGTCCATGTGCAGCCGCACCTTGTGGGGTTCGGACCAGGGCCCTCCTTTCAGACTCGAGTCGCCAAAGTTGTACACGACGTAACCCCGTCTGGAAAGGCCGACCACGAAGTCATCGTCCACCGCGATGGTCCGGAATGCCTCCGACTCTTTGAACCAAGGCTTGTTGGTTTCAAGGACAACAGTTGATGACTTGTTGGCGATGCAGATTGATCTCTGGCCGTTGCCCTCGAATTCGTGCCTCCATCGAGGTTTGTTGTCGCCCGCGAGGATGGGCAATTTGTTTTGAATGTAATAGATCGAGTCGTTCCACAAGATGCCGCCACTCTGTGCTGGGTCACGACTACCAATGTCCCAGATCGGCCTCCGCATGCCGTTCAGGACCCTCTTTTCTACAATGAATGACTCCGTCACTGTGTTGAAGTTGATACTTCTCACGGGAAGACTGGGCGTCCTTACAGCCTCGTTTTCGGGCAGCTCGCTCTTGACGGTGGAAAGACTTTTCGAAAACGACCTGTATATGTTGCTAATGTTGAAAAGTCCATAGGAATTCATTGGTCGGCAATGTGTTGCAAAGCGTGGCACATTTTGAATCTTGTATCTTCGGGTGAGTTTGTATGTGAAAGTTTTGACAAACTTCATGTTTTCGAATTTGTGAACCTCGACAAGGAGTCCAAGGACGACATAATGATATGAGTCGGTGTCGATTTCCTCAAACTCAACTGTAGAGTCACATTCACTCCTTTCGTCACTCGGCTCAGGGGTGCCGAGAAACACACTGACGAAGTAGAGAACGTGAGGTTTTGTTGGGTGAAAGATGAAAGCGTTGTTAATATCCACGCCTCGGCATACAAGCTCCTCCCATGGAAAGCCGGTGCCGCGACGTTCGTGGGCTGCAGGAGAAATAGGAACCTCGAGCTTGACAAGGCCAGTAGACCAGTTCCAGACATGAGGCAGGGTTGGTTCAGCTTCATCCTCGCCATGGTAATAGTCGGGGTTAAAGATGACGACGAACGTATCTTTATGGGCCTGTAGATCCGTCATGTACCTAGGAAGTGTAACACGACGGTGCTGGTCCTTGACAAGATCGTATACGATGCTGAGACGATTAGCTGGATTTGAAATATGACTCGGCGTCTTTCTGATGTAGTGATGAATGATATGTTGTCGAACAACTTACAGAGCCCTCATGCTATATTGGTCAAGAAGGATTAAGAGGTTCTCCGTCATGGTATACACGATGAAGTCCTTGTCTCCCTTCACCACGAGGTCGGGAAGTGAAACAAGCTTCCTTGTCATGGCTCGGATGTCGTCAACGAAGAAACGGTAGGAATCCCACTGCCAGGCGACTTTTCCACTGCAGTAAGCGGATCCGAGATGAGTCCTCGGTTCTACTTCTCGGTTGTTCTTGAAGAATCTCGAGGGTGTAGGTTTTGGTTTAGATTTGGCAAACTTGAGGCTGCGCTTATCGTATTTCAGAGCGGTGCATTCCAGCAGAGGCACATCGGCCGTGTTGATGAAAAGCCAGGAAGTGAGTTTGCCTTCGTTCCGGGCTGTGGCCATTTGGGCTATAGGACGTAAGAGATCCCAAGCCAATGCATCTGGAGATGCAGCGACTAACCCAGGAAAGAAAATTTGGGCGATTTCCCTGGCGACCGTGTCGGACGTCCATTTTACTCGCCATGCTTTGGAAACCTGAGTGCACCTAAGTGCATCGCCAAGGCGCAGATACTGTGCTATCATAGCAACGAGTTCATCTGGAAGATTATGCATCTCTGCAAGCTTTATTGTGCTCTTCAATGTCAGTTGCCTGAGATAAAGAAGCTCCCAAGGCGTGAGTCTCGAGACAAGATTGTCCAGGTTGGCGTGCTGGAGGGCTGTATTGGGGGATCCATCG